TAAAAGACTGTTTTCCCTCTTCTAACTGTCTTGGCATTTTGTTGAAAATCATTTGACTAGTAATGTTAGGGTTTATTCTTGGAGTCTCAATTCTGTTCTATGGTTTTTATGTCTTTGCTCATGCCAGTACCACATGGTTTTTATTTTTGTAGCTTTTTAGGAAGTTTTGAAATCTTCCTTTCTATTTTTAAATCTAGCATTTTAGTTATTTTAGTCAGGAGGACCTTTCAGTATGTTTCATCTGCATATTGCCATAAATCTAAGTCAATCATTATTTATTTATTCATTTATTTGTAGCAGAATGCCTTTAGTGAGAACTTCAAATAATTTAACTTAGCTTTCTTTTCATTTCTAATGATTTATTTCAGGTATACAGAAAGACATTAAAAAATGCAGCAATCATGTAGTCTCCATCCAGTTTAGAAAATAACATAATTTAAGTCCCTGTGTATACCTTTTCAATCACATTTCTTTAAATTCCCTCAACGATGATCACCATCCTGAATTTATGTTTATCATTCCCAAGAATGTCTTATACTTTTATTTAACATCATTTCCAACAACCTGTTCTCTTGCCATCCTCTGCTATAGAGGCTATCACACTAAATCCTTGACACCCAGCTTCTCTTGAAGATCTGGAAGTCCATAGACCCAGTCATGACTAATGAGCATGGGTAGGTCTTGGTAGGGTGACCTTTCCCAAATGAAAGTAAAGGCTTGCTATAGACAATCCTTTTTCTTTTCATAATTTTTCTCTTCCATTTTTCCAGCTTGGAACATAGGCATGATGCTGAGGTAACTATCTTGTCACCACAACTTGACAATAATGAGGAAGAAAATTTCTGTGCTTCTTCATGGCAGAAATGAAGATGGAAATAGCTTGGGTACCTGATAGCATTGTTGGACTAAGTTAGGACTGCCCACCTCAGACCCCTTGTTGCATGAGGCATTTGCAGCATTGCATTTCATCATCCAAGATGTCATAGATTGTAAGACACAGCATTACTTTATGTATCATTAAGAAAGAAAAAAGGTGCTGATAACTGTACAATAATATGATGCTTTCTTTTCACATCATTGTAAATAATAACCTTATTTTATAAACAAGAAAATTTGAAAAACGTGTTTCTAGGAGTCAGTAAAATATTTTTAAAAACCTTCTTTTTTTAAATGTCCATTAGTTGCAATTGAACAGTTTCCTAATTGATGCCATTTTATAATAAGTAGACAAATTTAGATCAAAATTAATGTATCTGAAAGCCGGTAGGGAAGAAAATCGGGCTTTGCTAGGAAATCTGCTTTTTGCTCTAGGTCAGCAATCCAAAATGGCTGAGATCCAGAAATCTACAGGCATGTTGTGTCAAACCTGGGCCTGTTTATTGGCAGATTTATTCCTTGCCCTTTCCTAGCCTGAGATGTAAGGCTCCAGGCTATGTTCCCCCGCCCTCTGGGTGAGCTATGACCAGCTGAGTTCAGCCAATGAGATGCGTTGCCTGGAGAGTAGAAGAGAGGAAGGAAGAATTGTATTCCTTCTCTTCCCTCTCTGTCATGAGTGGCATCTCTGCAACTGAAACTCTTTACCAGACTGGCTCCTACCGGACAGGCCAGCTAATGTTTCAGCATCTGCTTAGTGATTCCTGGCCCCTTGTCTTTTTGTCCTTCCATCTTAGGAGTGGTAGTGTCTTCCTGCTTTTGTTCATCTCAGGATGGCCTCACCATCCCTTATGTGGCTTCTCAGCTCATCCATCATCTGTGTAACCAATGCCTTGCATTAAAATCTCTCTGACACTCGGACTATTTAAAGTGTTTTTTTGTTTCCCTGACTAAAAACCAGAGAGAAAAGTTGAATTCTCAGTCCTAGGCTAAAATTATTGCACGCCAAGTCAAACAGATGGGATTCGTAGCGGGAGATATGACTGGAACTTGAGAACTCAAGTCTGATTCCCTGGGCCCCTACCCAGCAGTGAATGTAATATCCTCCCTGAGGAAGGGGTGACTACTCCCATTGCAAAATGCAGCTGGCCTGCATCCCGGAAAGGGGGACAGGAGGAAAGAAGGGAAAGAGGGGAGGTTTTAATACTTCTCCTCCCAGGTCATTGACTTGGAAGCCCAGAGACAAAATAGTCTTCATTCTTCTTGTTCAGAAGGAAGTGATCTACACGTTAGTGTCTCTTCCAAATAGAAGTTATTACCTTTTCCACTCTCCACTTAGATACGTTGGGAATAGATAAACATCTTTTGGACTTAGATTGCTGGTTCATCTTGACCTGTCAGAAAAGAATTTACCTCACGTAGATGCGACGGAATAAGATGTGGTGACATTTGGATGGCCTCCTTATGGGGAGGAGGTGAGTACTTGGGTTAGTGACATTTTGAAATTGAAAATATGGGGTAAAAAGTGTGTGTGGAAATAAAACAGCCAGAAAGGGACTGTGGTTTTATTTTACATCTCTCTCTCTCTCTTTCTCTAGACATTTGTGGTTTTATTTTACATCTCTCTCTCTCTCTCTAGCTCAATCTCTCTCTCTCACCCTCCCTCCTGCCCTTCTTTCTTCTTTTCTTTCTATCTTTTTTCCCCCCTGAATAGCAACCTGATTTTCCTTGGGGAAATCACCTCTTTCCCACTCTTAGTTCATATGGTTTGGTGGTATTAATCCCCTGCAGGGATAGGCATTTGACTCAGGCCTGACCAATTAGAGAACACCGGCTCTTCTTGGCCAAATCAAAGCTTGTTGAGATGCAAATCTTGATTTTTTGAAAGGAAAGCATTCATTATTGTTTATGCTGGACTTGGAGTTGCGAGGATGTAAGCCTGGAGCTTTTAGCAACAGTTTTGCCACTATGAGAGCCGGGCCTGCATGAGAATGGAGTCAAGGCACAGGGAAGCAAAGGTGAGAAACAGAAAAGAACCAATTATTGATGACATGGTTTACCTGAGGGATTTGGCTGTGCCTAAACCCAGACTTACTTTGTAAACTTTTCAGTTGTGTCAACCAGTGAATTCCTTTCCCTAAGCCTATTTGAAATGTTTTCTTTCCTTCCTTCTCTTTTCCTTCTTCTTTCCCTCCCATCTGCTGAAAGAACCCTAAATATTATAAAAAAGTGTCTGTATGCTCATGCATATCCTGGAGCTAAAGATGACTTAAATTTGGTTAAAAGAGAGAAGTTAAATGCTATTTATGTAAATAAACAAAAGCCCTCTTTTTTTTTTTTTAAGATTTTATTTTTAAGCCACCTCTACAGTCAACACGGGGCTTGAACTCACAACCCTAAGATCAAGAGTCTCACGCTCCACCGACTGAACCAGCCAGGCGCCCCAACCCTCTTATTACTGCATGCAAGGCGGTGACTACAGCATTTGTTTTTTTTTAAATCTAAGGTCAGTGTGTTTTGTTAACACCCATGATACAATGTTTTAGTTATGTTAAAGCTGCCAATGAAGTTGATCCTAGGCCACCTGTACTTTGTCTATTATAGCAACTTAGGAAGTATACTTAAGAGATATTACTATCATTTAAACTCACAAACCCTAATATATACCCATGGCGGACACTACTCAAAGTATTGGTTTCCTCCTTCCTAGCAGGCAAATATTTTCTTTATGAAATTCTATGATCTCACAGGAAAATGACCTTTTAATATTATATTCCAGCTTTCAATCTTTAGGACTTGATTTGTATTTAGTCAGTGGGCTAATCATAGACGTTGCCTGTTTGTGAACGGTCTAGTTCTGGCTCACAATGAGGAGCTCTCTTTTTATGTGATTGATTGATTGATTGATTTTAAGATTTTATTTATTTATTTGACAGAGAGAGACAGCGAGAGAGGGAACACAACAGGGGGAGTGGGGGAGGAAGAAGCAGGCCTCCCCCGGAGCAGGGAGCCCGATGCAGGGCTCTATCCCATGACCTGGGATCATGACCCGAGCCGAAAGCAGATGCTTAAGGACTGAGCCACCCAGGCACCCCTCATGTGATTTAATTTTAAAGGAGGTGGCTGCTTTGTTCCATAAAATTGACTGATAACCTGAAGATTTTCAAAAGGTTGAACAGTGAGTTCTTTAGTTTAAAAATAATAATGGTATTTGAGTTTTTTGTGGTTAATTTTCCATTTAGCTTTGAAAAAAAAAATCAGAATTTTATAGTTGAAAAGGAATATAGAACTATTTCAGCCCCGTGCTCTCATTTTTGGGTGAGGAAACAATAGTTACAGAGATACCAAATGGAAATAGATAAAATGTTTAAGAATTTGAACTGCCTTTGGCAACCACAGCATGGGAAGAAGCAAAGCTCCTGGTTTATTCGTACTTGCTTTTACTCTCTCATCTCTTCTCTCAAGTCTGCTTCCGTGGGTGCAACCGGGGATTCATAGGCAATTTTAGAATTACACATTTCTTTCTCTTAATTTGTGTGTATTTTCTTTATTTTTATCGATGTTGACTTTGTTTACTATCGAACTTCCCAGAGTCATTGGACAGGGACCACATAGAATGTCAATTTTATTATTGCTCCATTAATAACACGAATAAAAAGGATAATGCCACACATCTTTCTGGCAGAGAGGGAAGGGACAATGGAATCCCAGCAACATACTTCAACAGGGGAGCAAGAACATTGGTGAGAAAGGTTCCCATTGCCTCCTCCCACCTTTTTCTTAACCTCTTTGACCCTCAAGAAGGAACGTGTAAATACGCTCAGTGAAGCTGTGTTTACCTGGCCTTGTGTTCACTCAGACTTGGCCTGAACAGGTGCCTAGGCAAAGGCCCACCATGCCTGAGAATGTGTTTCTTCGGTATTTAGTGGTGCTGTGCATATAGGATCTTAATACAAACCTTCTAAGTGAACTAAAGAACACTGAAAGGAGACAAGACAGCATTTCACTAGAAGCTTCCCAGAGACTAAATCTGCCCATTGCTATTAATAGTTCTCAGAACTTTCTGTGATATAGCAACAATATTGTTGGTGACTGAAAGTATGATTTCATACAAGAGAACCACTTCCGAATTTTTTAAAACTATTTTTTAACACATGAAATTACACACAATACAAAATACTTGTTTTACAAGTTGAAATCTTTACAGTTATGGGTACAGTTACAGTAATGCAAGTAATATTAGTGCATTCACTTAGAGCAAGGTTATTTATCTTCATTGGGCTTAACACAAAGCCAAGAATGAATTATTTGCTTAAACTGCTTTCTAGTCTTTGAATCAAAAAAAAAAAAAAAAGAAAAATGACTTCTACCTCCTGTTTAATATGTTAGAATGATAAACAATGCCAACAATTAAGTAGTCCGGTATCTTTATAAATGGGAGATTGGATTCCAATAGCTTTTACATTGTAAATCTTCAAGTTTTGGCTACATTCTGTCTATCAAATTGTCATCATCTCAGCTTTCAGGAAAATTACATCATCTTTGGTCATAGGTTGCCAAAAAACAGAAACTATAGACTACACCATTTTTTTCCAAAGAATCCTGTATTTTAATGAATAGCTGAATAAATAGACATTAATTATGAAATTCACATTAAGATAGAAGAAAATCCAAACATTCTGATTGCTTTATCTCTTAAATTTGATAGCTACTACAAAACATACTATTTATGTTAGGGTAAAAATAAGCTGAATCACAGGAGTGTAATTGGGAAGTACTGGCAGATACATACAGTAACATGGAGGAGTCATAAAATAAAAGTGTTTATATGTACATATTTTTTTTCCTTTTTTGCATGGAGAAACACTGTTCTATAAAATGGGAAAACACACAGTAGACCACATGCAACAAGAACCAATACAATGTGCACAGCAGTAGGATCAAATAAGACAAAAGAACTATGGGTTTAAAAAATAATTTGGGAGCAGAAAAATAAAAAAAGAAAAAACTGAAACCTGGAATGCTTTCTTCTTGAGGTTTCAGAATATAAATTTGTCTAACAAGCCTCTTGATAGTTTTCAAAAGTTCCCACTTGACCTCTTACGGTTTAAGTGTAGAGCTAAAAATAAACCATCATATTATACAAAACTTTGTATATTAGCATACAAAAGGTAACAATTTACTTTTTGTATAAAATATAACCTTTTGATAGTATATTTATTTCACATATGTATAAATATAACCCAAAGAATATGTTTTGAGTATTTCTACCAAAATATTCTTTACAAAAGTTTACAAAACAAGTCATTTATTCATATTTACAACTTAGCACAGAAAAGATTCTGGGCCAGTGACGTTGGTATTGTGTAAAAGAAAGAGTGTTCTTCTAGATTTTTTAAAGACTGAGAGAGGGCTTTGCAGAACTTTCAAAATATGATCTTTTTTAGAACAGATATCCAAAGACTTATTTATTAAACAAGTCCAGTTAAATTACATCTGATAATTGAATATGTGGGCATATAACTAAAAAGGTTGAAGATAACCTATATTCTTCTGTAATGAGGAAAACGATAGTGATATTTTGCATCCATTCCAAATCAGCACATGTCCTCCCCATTTTATAGCTGATCTGTGTGTGGGCGCTGAGGTGACATGACTCAACAAAAACTCTTTCTTTGATACAGTGCTCTGTACCTCTGTATCTCTGAGGGAGAAAACCTGGATATGCAGGGTCTGTCTAGCATATGGTGAAGATGTATCATATCAGGGAGCCAAGAATGAATACATTGCTACTGGAGAACAGATCACATTCTCTTTAGCTGTTCACCCAAAATATGCCCAAATCAGGACAGATTGTTTTCTCTCTCAGTTATGTTTTCCTTCAAACCCTGTGAAATAGATTTGTACCCAACCATACCCACCATTTCTTGTCCTGATCTTCTGTTTCTTATCTCCAATCAAAACAAGATACCTTCTTATCTCCGTTTTCTTACAAGTCAGTCTCTGGTCATCAAAATAAGCAGGGAAGACAGGGCTCAATTTCACTCAGCATGGGAACTAACCAGCAGGCATGATCACAATAAGCAACACCCCAGGTTATTTGTCGCTAGATAAATCTCCTTTGTAGCCATGTCCCACGGGATGTTTTCTTTTTGAAATAGTGAAATCTGATGCAGACAGGTATGCACCAATATTTCAGTATGATTAGGACAAGTTGTGATTTTTATCTAAGACTTGGAAATGGATTCAGGAATTGGTTGTGGAAGCCCAAATAAAGTTGGAGAGCTCTGCAATCTTGTTTCATCACTAGACACGGCATGTTGCGGAAGTACGGCGTACGTGGGAAAACTGACCAAGTGAGAGGTGAATCTGGGGAAGAAACTCTATAATCCATTGGATGTTCTCTAGCTTCTCTGGCTTTCCTCTACTTGGGGCACTGTTTGGTTACTCCAAACAAACCTATAACATTTTAATCTACCCTGGATGTTTTAGGAAAACTAAATGAAAAGACAAGAGTGGGAAGATTAAACCACACTTATTATCTATTAGAGCAAATGAAGGAATTTGTTGCTTGTTGCTGGGAACTAGAATCTCCATATGACACGGGATTTAGCAAGCGACAAGCTCTATTACTTTTCTTTCAGGGAGGAAAGGAGCTTGGGAAGCCTATTTTACACAACTAATTACACATCAACATCACAGTTCTGTTTGGGAAAACTGGATACTGTGTCCTGGAGTTTAGACAGGGAAAGGTGATCCCAAGATTTTACTTTCAGGTTTGAGACTTAAAACAAACATTTGAACCAAGCACTGCAGTTAACTTTCTGCTTCCACGTGTAAGCCAAGGTATCTTCACATAGTCCAACTAAAAGTCAAGAGTTTGGCCTTTACAGAGTCCTTGTGAAATACTGCCTTTTAGTGCGTGGAGTTTATTAATTGTCTCCCTCTTCTCCTTTAGGAGTTGTTCCCCAAGATCTCATCAAGATTGATGTCTTTCATCCAGTCGTCATTACCAGGCTCTGTCTTCAATAAAGAATCAATGAAATCAGCATCGCTGTTCAGGGCAGGGCCCATGTTATCGGTCTGTTGGTTGAGAAAGTCAAAAGCTAAGTCACTGGCATGGTCAGTTCCTTGAAAAGCCCTGGAACTTTGGTTGGGTGAAGGGAAACTGCCCGGGGTCAGGGATGGCGGCTGGCTCAGGCCTGTCCTCGACTGACTCAACCCTGTTCCTGACTGGTTCAAATTAGGCAAAATTTGTGTGCTGAGCTGATTGGGTCTGAGGTTCAGACTTCTGAGTGGACCCATGGTCTGTCCATTTAATGTCTGACTCATCTGGTTCATGGGTCTCATCTGCACTGCTGGTGTGAGCTGGTTAGGAGGAGCCACTGGCCTCTGCGAAAACTGTTGGCTGCTCACTGCCTGTTGTAGAGACTGGTTTGGAGTATAGGCTGCAGGTGCACCTGTGGGGAAGCGGGCGGCCGTGGACTTCAGGGCTTCCTGTTGTTTGGTTGTCGCTTCTTGAGAGGCCCAGTTTGGTGCTGTTGTGCTGGATGTGATCATTACATTCGACGTTCTCTGCGCTGGCATGTTTGCCATGCTGTGGGTTAAATTTGGTCTCACCTGCTGCGAATTGCTAACAGGTCCAGCTCCAAAAGTGGCCACGTTATTATTATTATTACTTGCCCCTAAGGTAGGTGGCCGTGGCATCAGAGGGGTGTTCTGATTTGCTATCAGTTGGTTTGGGTTTCTCTGCTGGGTCAGCTGATTCACTCCTGAAGTGACGCTGTATGTGCCAGGTTGACTGCAAGGCAGATTTCCATACATCCCCATATTCTGAACTGCTGTGGGTAACGATGGCATTCTCGTCCCATGCGAAGTAGACATGAGGCTGGAATTCGAAGTCAAAATGGTGTGTGTTGAAACTGGGTTTGCCAAAGCCTGGTTAGAGTTTAAATTCACAGCTGATGAGCCACCTGAGAAAAAGAAGATAATTATGTTAGTTTACAACCATAGGTTATCTCCTCTTTTATAGCAATTTGCAATAACTTGTCCACTCTGAAACTGTTGTAAGGTGTAAGAACAAATAAAGAGAAATAATCATCACAGCATCTTATGTAAAAGGAGTAAGACAGCTTTTGGAGGGAAGTATCACCTAGGTCATCCCTTGGTCAAGAGTTTACATATTATAGAGAAAAAGCCTATGATAAAATGGCTCTGGTTTTTAGGTTTTACTTTATTCCTCTTCTGGAGTCATTGAGGGGAGGTGATAGTCAATCTTTCTTTCATTTTGAATTAGCTTTACTCTGTTCCAAGACCAAAGACTAGAACCTTGATTAACCAGCTGTTGTGAAATCCAGGCTGCTGGTTACCTCAGGGTCCAAATAAGAAAGTGTGGATTAATCCTATATACGGCTGCTAGATTAATATTCCACACCTATGGCCATGAAAATCATGTCCAGTTATTCATCCGCATCGTCCCCATTCAAGAAGCTTCCATGAGTGGCCCCCAAGTGTCCAAAGGGAAAATACCCATCTCTTTAAACATCTAGAATTCAAAGTGTCCATGCTCCAGTGATGATTTCCATGTAGAAAGCCCTCTGCTCCAGGAGGTATAGTTACTATTGCATTGTTATCCACATACCATGAGCCACCTGTGCTCATGCTATTTCCCTCTCATATGATGCCCTTCTTAACTCCCTGAACCCTACTTTTCCTTCAAAGTTCAGGCCAAAGTCTAAGCTCCTTCACTGAGCTTCACCTGATACTCCAGCCTGCTCTTTCCAGCAGGATTTGCTCTTTGAAGTTTTCACTTAGCACTTAGCTTTTGTATTGGGAAATCCACGGAACCTCAAAGAGGAACCATGAATCATAGGCTGCCGGATAGGGAGGCGCATCACATATCAGATAGTGATTAGTCAACACGTTAAAATCTTCCTGACTCGGGGAGGTGAAAGTCATCATGGGAAGACATCTTGAGAAGCAAAAATGGAATGTCAGAAAGATAAAAGTAAGTGTCTGGTGGATGATTAAGTTCCATGGGGGAAAGCATTTTTGCCTGTTTGGTTCACTGTCCTAAAGTCTAGTGGATGGTGCAAAGTAGGTATTTGATTCATATTGAATGAATGAATGAGTAAATGAGAGATTGAAGCAAATATGTAACTTGGAGAAAGATACTCTTTTAAAGTACCCTACCTGCACAGATGCAGGGAGGCCCAGAGAATCAGAAATGCTAAGGAAGGAGAATTAGACACATACAGAAATATCAGAACATTACTGTAGGAGAAGAACATGGCTGTGGTTGTAGCTCTAGGGAACCCCAGAACTGTTTGGGGATAGCTAGCATGGCACACAGCCTGAAGGGCTGAAGTCCTTGCTATTTGTTTTAAAATGTCTCCCACTAGACTACAGACCCCTTGAAGGCAGGAACAGTCTCTTGTATCTCCCTGTAGGTCCAGACTGAGCACAAAGCCCTGCACTGGGAGGGCAGGAAGAGTTTGATAAAGAGGGATCAGAGTAGGTATGAGATGCTGGAACAGTAAAGAGTGGACAGACAGCCAATGAGGGTAAGCAACAGCATCTTGGTATCTAAGGATTTCACGAGAAGGGAATGGACACTATGAAAGTGCTATGAGAACAAATTTAGAGGTTTTAAAAATCATTCCCTCTAGGTGCCCTCTATTTTGACAATATGCCCTGAGAAGGTTTTTAAGAGGAGAGCAATAGTTTTAAACAACCACAATAGAGAGAATTTCCATAAAGGTCACAAAAGAGTAATCACAGTTAATATTTAGAAGTCCCGAATATGTGGTAAAAATTGTTCCATGTACTTTTCATACATCATTTCTAATATTAACAATTTGGGCAAGGTGATTATTACTGCACTGAGATTAAAGTAAAAAATGATAAAAGAGTTTGTGTTGTGCTTGTTGGTTATTTCATTCTCAGAAGACATGGGAAGTACAATGCTCTAGAGTACTGATTCTTATCCATTTGGGGATCAGCAATTGGATGCCAAGGATCCCTCCCTTAGGAAGAGGCCCATGTGCACTGTGAAAGGAACTCGCAGGTGCCTACCAAGCATCCAACCTCCCTGTCTCCCTTAGAAACAGACCCTTGATTTTGCAGCAATGTGCCAAGCTGAAAAACCACATTTCCCAAACTTCCTCGGTGATGGAGGGGTCCAGATGAATAAATTTTGGCTAGAAGTAGAAGTTACTAGGTAAGAGTCCAAGAAACCTATTTTATTTTTTTTTAAAGATTTTATTTATTTATTTGAGAGAGAGAGAGAGAGCACAAGAAGGGGGAGCAGCAGAGGGAGAGGGAGAAGCACAGACTCTCTGAGCAGGGAGCCCAACATGGGACTCGATCCCAGGACCCCAGAGATCATGACCTGAGCCAAAGGCAGATGTTTAACCAACTGAGCCACCCAGGTGCCCCTCAACAAACCTCTTTTAAAAAGAGAATCTGACTCATTTGGGAGGGCATTTTACCTCTTCCTTTCTTTCATCCTTCTACCTGGAATACGACGTGAAGGATGGTGGTGTGGTGGCCAAAAGGCAGCCCTTAGGGTGGAAGCTCCATGTGAAAGAAGGTGGAGCAGGAAGACGAAAGAAGCCTTGACCCCTGACAACACTGTACAACCACCTAATCAGCCTGAGACTGCAATCCTTGAGACTCTTTTATATGAGTGGGAAAAGAAAAGCCCAAACATCCACCTTGAATTTTGTATAATATTTCCAAGGCTCCTAGCTTCCTCTGAACCCACTGATAGGCCATGGTGTAAGAAGCCATGTTCCAAATGAACCTCCATCGTGTCTTTCAGCCACGTTGAGGACAAGTGGAGACAAGAGGATCGGGCTTTATGCAAGTTCCAAGAGGGCAGAATGTCTGCTTACCTTACATGATCTGGGTCAGGATACCTTGCTGGGAGGACAGTGGTGGAACCGAGGAGTTAGAAAATATTTAAGCTCTCTTGAACTCTCAGAGGTAATTCGGAGGGCAGTGAAATATGTGAAGAGAGGACAAGAATCAGCAAGAAATGATGAAAGGACTAAACACCACTCAAGTTTGGTCTTGATCTGCAAGTTAAATGGGAGCTAGTGCAGGATTCTAAGACAGATGCTACATTTCCCTATGAGGTGGGGAGAGAAGGAAATGTTAAAAACTGAACAGTTTTTTTCTTCTACAGTTATGATTTTTACTGATTTTTAAAAGATTTTATTTATTAGAAAGAGAGACAGCAAGAGAGAGAGGGCATGAGCAGGGGCAAGGAGCAGAGGGAGAAGGAGAGGGAGAACTAAAGGGAGAGGGAGAAACAGACTCCCCACTGAGCAGGAAGCCCAATGCGGGGCTCGATCCCAAGACTCCAGATCATGACCTGAGCCAAAGGCTAGATGCTTAACCTACTGAGCCACCCAGGCGCCCCGTTTTTAACTGATTTTTAAGAATACTCACCAGAATACTGAGCAGCAGTTGGCTGTATATTGCCCGTGTTTCTTCTTTGGTCTTTGTAATCTGGTGGTGGCCTTGTCAAATGTCTATTTATCTGATCCTGTGGAGCAATCTTCTCCTTGAATACACAAATGAAATCATATTAGGTTGCATGCTTACTTTCCCACTTGTAAACATTTATAGACTGTCATTCAAAAAAGTAAGACTGCAAGAAAAATTTTGCAGCCATGGTTGCGAATCATACACCTTATTTACTAGTGTTACTTCAGAAACTGGTCTTTTCAGTTTCAATAAATTTCCTGCGTGGAAGTATAATTTCTACCTCTCAACACTCAACGTGTGTTTTGGGTCTAACAGCTAATCTCATTTTCTTTATTTTGCAATTAGATTTCAGTGAGAGCTAAATTCCTGTGATTTTTGAGATGGTGTTTCTAGTTTTATTTTGTAGCACACCTGATATGCTTTGGTACCCATTTTTTAATTCTGGTCCCATGGAGCGTGGAAGGCATAGGAGTAGGGTTACCAGAGAAAATACAGGACTCTCACCTAGTAACTTGGAAACTCTATATTTTTATTTGTTAAGTCTGGCAACCCTAGATAGGAGGAGATGCCAGGAGATATCCTATCAGGTATTGGTAGGGGCCTTATACACATATTACCTCATTTTTCCCCCTCTAAAATAACGCTTGAAATAGGTGTGATTATTCCCACTTAACAGATGAAGAAATGGAAGCTTCCTTAGGCCAAGTAACTTGCCAAAGATCAGAGCAGTAGAACGGAAATCGGATCCTGAGTCAAAGAATCTGACCCTTTCCCTGCCACACAATACAGTACTTGCTTCTCTGTTTCTCTGTGCCCCATTCTCAAAGCACAGAAGTCTCCCAGGCCCCCTTCTTTTCTTCCTTCTGGAATCTGCCACCTTTAGATCTCTAGAGGAGGTGAGTTTGGGAGCTAAGAGAGGAAATGGGTACGTTCTTTTTATACTGTCAACGCCTTTAGCCAAAGACTACCAGGAACACAACTGCTGGGTTTATTGCTCATTGCAGCATGGGGGACCATGGGGTGTCTCAGTACTAGAGCGTTAGAAAGAACCTATCCTAGGATTTGGGTGTTAATTGGATGATTTAGGGAGGGTCTAAGGAAGCAATGATTTGTTCTAGGTTGTAAGCTGTCAAAGTGAGGTTGATTCTATTATTGAGTAAAGTAGCCATTGCTCATTTAGCAAAAGGAGGGGTTGGTATTTTGTGGGTTACAGAGTGACCTTGTGTCTGTATTTAGATAAAATTATGAAGCGGCCTTATTTTGTCTCATTTTATCATGGTCTCAGAGTAATCCCATCTGAGGTTGGTATTCATTCGTCTGACGAAAACCAGAATGGCCTGGCCACGAGTGTCATATCAATCTGGACAATCAGGGGCCGCTTTTTTTTTTTCTCAACGTGGATCCGGAAGTTTTTAGAATTGCTTCACTGCAACTTTGTATGCACCCCAAAGCAACCTCCATTTTCAAAGATAAACATAACTGGTATCGGTAGACAGAGAACAATATAATTATAGAAAAGTCAATAAATAGAAAAGAAAACCGTGTAAAGATAGATGGATAAATTAGATGGAGGCCAAATGTGCACTGGCCAACTTAGAGCCCACTTAAACCATGTATTTCTCAGTTTCCCATCAAATTCCAAACTTCCAAAGTAGAACAAATCTACTATAAAGGGAAAAAAAAGGCCTTAAAAACAACAACAAACCAAGTTCAAATTCTTGTTTCTAAGAAAAAAACTTGAAAGACTCACAGGGTTTTGGGGCATCAAGTAATTCGGATGAAACACAATTTTGATGAGCTAAGTGTAAATGAATCAGAAACATATGGATTACATTTCTTTCAAATATGGGTTTACAAATTAAGGAAAAAAGTGGTTGGTGAAAGTCTTTATGGTTTTGCCCAAACCCTAAATGTTTAAGAAACAGCTTGAGATGTTCCATGAACCCAAATGTGGTGATGTTCAACCATGCCTGTTGTAAACTATCGTGCAAGCTGACAGTTTTGATTTTTTTGCCAAGCATGGGACTTTCTGAATTCTTCTCTTTTTCAAAAGCATCTATCATTTTTTCTTATATAAGTAGGTATTTCTGCTGTTTATACTGAAGAAAACAGGATTTGTGCATGGGTGTGTGTGTGTGTGTAGAGAGAGAGAGAGAGGGACAGAGAGAGACAGAAACAGAGAAGAGAGGATCGGGCTCTTGGTTCCCCATTAAAGACTAGATCTCAAATCTGAACTTATGTTTATGTATATTCAATCTACTTACTGACCTTTTATTTCCCTGAGGGCTAAATTTAGGTTGCTCCAAGGGTTAACAACACATCTCTGGACACCTGAGTTTCTTGAACTACTTGCTCGCACATGAGTTAGATTTAATGGCCTTGTATATGGACTATCATGGAGAGGCCCTGTTGTCACTTCACGCTGAGAGGTAGCAAAGACCCGACTGTGACACGGAATGTGGGCTGCTCCCATTCCCCTTCCGTGCAAGAGGATGACAGTCCCCTTCCGTGTAAGCGTCAACTCACAGGCCATCCCTGAGACTAGGTGAAATTGAACTTCTCAACTAATGTCTCATCTTGGACCCCGTAATTCAACCCAATAAACCTGGCCCTGAAAACCTACTATAGAAATAACCTCTGTGGCGTTTATCGGTCCTGCTTCAGTTTTGCCATCTCAAAACGTGCAATGTCGATAATTCTAGGACCTCCCTCCTAACTCCAATTGTAAGGACCAGTCCTTTACCTCTGTGAAAGCTTGGCATGGTGCTGGCATGCAGAAGGTGCACGAAATGTGTTGGTTATCATGACGCCCATCGTGTTACGCACGACTCATCTTTCCTCATTGGGCTTCATTGGTGGGAGAATAACGGGGAGTAAGGATAACGCACTTTCATGAGAAAGTGTCCCAATTCAGGCGCCTTTCTGGCCTTGCCAACTGATTGGAAATGACTACATTAGCATATGCTAATGTAAAGCCAGATCAAAGACTGTTTCTTCCTGGATATGCTAAAAAGCACAGTCACCCTCAATGGCGTCCAAACAAAGAGCAATGTGAGTGGTTTGTAAAAAGCACAAAAACCGCAGTCCCATTTCTCATTCATCTCTCACAGTTTATGCCACTGCCCTTTGCACCTGTCCCAGGGGGGACTCAACTGGGGCCCAGCAAGAGTCCGGCCCGTGCCAGGACACGACCCTTGGGGCACGTTTCCTTGCCTTTTAATCAGAGCTGAAAATCCAGACATGCGACCGCTGCGTGTTATAATTCAACACAGTAGAAGTACTGATGGGAGCAATGAGAGTCAATCGGAGAGTGCATGTTTTTCTCTCCTAGCGCCCTTGTTTTTGAGCTATTTAGATGATGAAGATCAAAAAAAGGGAGGGAGTTGGTGGGACAGCCGGAGTTTCCAAAACTTACAGAAGATTTGGAGAAGAAATCGGTTGTGTCGCTTTGTGATCCAGTCCATGGCACCCCCGTACCTGATACCTCAGGGCAGCACTCAAGGTCACCTGTACATTTTTTGCTCCCTATTCCTTATTCATCCCTCACTATATCTTCTCTCCTGCTCTAGACTCCAAACTTACTCCATTTGTCATTCCTCAAAAATAATGATTATGTTACTATTTACACTTTTCATCTTGTATTAAATATTTTAGAATATAATCTCAAGCCCATCAACAAATATACACCTGGGCTGTACCTTTTGTTGTCTGGCCCCTCCTCACCTAGTCTATCCATCAGAATCCAACAGTCTTCAAGGTCAAAGTCAAAGTCAAATTTTACCTCTTCTGGGAGACTTTCTTTAATCTCTCCAGGCTGGATGTTATCTTTCCTCCATTACCTTTTCTCCTCCTCTGTTCATATTTTTACTGTAATGCAAATCTGAGTTTAGCACTTCCTTGCTTCAAATCCTTAAAGTCCTCTCCCTTGCTTTTCAGACAGGGTGAATTTATCAAGCTCTACCCTCTGGCCTCTCATCTCTGGCCTCCTTGCCTATTACTTCCTTAACCTCTACTTCCATCTACTACATCATTATACATTATTGTCTCTGAGTCTTTGAATATGACGGTTCTTCCGACCTGAACATCCCCCTCCTCTTTCTCCCATCACCTACTTCACCTTCAGATCTTCAGTAGACGTAACTTCCTCTCTGAAACCATTTCCAGTACTCACTACATCACAGCATTTAATCACCTGCCTTCCAATCACCTGTATTTCACATCCCTGTGGGCTCTAAGCTCCTTAAGGACAAAGACATGGTCTATTTTATTTATACTCATTTTCTCAGTGTAAATTCACTAGTATTTACCGAATGAATGGTAGCACTTACCACATCCTAGATTTCTGACTTTTACTACAAAGCTCCTTGAGTATAAACATTTTGGTTTTGTTTTGTTTTTCACATCTCTGTGTACCTTGACTCTATCAACTTGGAGACGGTTAACTTTGCCCCTTTTGTCTTTCATCTGGCCAAACTGTCTAAAGGGAGAGAATGACACTTGGAGATGGGGCTTGGTGTTCGGAGGCAGGGGGGTTTGAACCCGTGCCCAAGTGTACGTCTGAGGACGCAGAAGGGAGAGCAAGTAACAGTGACGAAGGGCTAATGCTCGGGTCCTGATGGGGAAATAACCATCTTGCCTTTCTTTAAGGCCAGTTAACTATGGTGAAAGTTGGAAATATATCCTGTTTCCTTTAAAAACATCCCCCCTTCTGAGATGCTTTATTTTGGAAGTCAAATCTTCAGTTTTGAAACCCCATGCTGGCTTTTACAACTGTTTTAGAAACTCCTTTTATCTCTAAAATCAGTTTGGATTCAAGTCGATTAAAGTTCTGTCCACGATTTCTGCCCCTCGGGGCTATAGCCCCAAAATGGCTCCTTTTGCCTGATTCAAACACCCATGCTGGTGGTTCTTAACATTCCTGGGCTGGGCAGGGCTAGTTAGGTGGGGTGCCATGCATTCCAACTGTCCAGCAGCTGGTAAATCAAGTGTTTTTTTTTTTTTTTTCCCTGCAGCACTTTAACTTCGGTATAGAATTAGCTTCTCTTATAGCCAGGATACTCTTGTTGCTCTCACCTAAGCAGGCACAGAGAAAAGGGCAGTGACCAGAAAGGGGAAATAATGAATTCCCTCTGTTAGGCCAATAGGTACGTGTAGTAGAAATTAGGAGAAAGTTTTACCGCATCAACCAGCATCTGCTGCTGGAGGAGAAGCTGCTGTTTCTGCTCCATGATCTGCCTCTGTAGAGTCTGTTTCTTTCCCATCAATTGCTGATTCAACAGTGATGGCTGGGAGTTCATGTAACCACTTCCGGTGTTTGGATTTGAGCAGGGGTTGGGACTTGGACTGGGGCCTGTGTTCTGGCCTACCACAGAGTGTTGATCCTAAAGGAGAGAAGGGGTAAGAGGGGGAAGCTACTGTAATTAAAAGAAGAAAAATGTAGCACAAAGATCATAAGCTTAGATTCCGAACATTTTTCATCTTGTTGAGATCAAACATGGTTAAATGGGTTGGAGATCAGAGAACTGCCTTTCAAATGTAGGAGAAATCAATGCGTATTACAGCAAACAAAGCAGCTGGGTTAATTACATTAGGGCACTAGAAAAGCTCCCATATGACTCTGATGGTGGAACCTCCACATTCCAGAAGGCGTTTATGGAACCTTAAAGAAAACGACCATAAAAACATATGGCAAATCTCTCAATTGCTCAGGAACAAACACATCATAAAGTAACAAGTTCTTCCTTTTCCTTAAAGCTAGTACAGATCATTGCTGATCCTGCAACGAAAATTATGTTTTAAGGCATATGTTCAAAAGTTGAATAACCATTTTGGTCAGGAGGGGCCCAGCTTTCTGTGATAAGATGGAAGACCTGTGAGTTTCTGTTTTACAAACACTCTGAAACCTAGAAGGGATTTTACTTTTAAGAGACTTGTCAATTTTCCTCCCTGGTCAGGAAGTCAGGAATTTCAGTGTATCAATCAGTAAAAGCACACCCAACCGACAATGAGAAAGCATAGATTAAAAACTCAACATTGTATTGTAGTAATACTGGGTATTGGTGAACTGCCATTCTAACTCAAGGTCTCTACCAATCTTTTTTTTTTTTTTTAATTTTATTTATTTTTTGACAGAGAGAGACAGCGAGAGAGGGAACACAAGCAGGGGGAGTGGGAGAGGGAGAAGCAGGCTTCCTGCCGAGCAGGGAGCCTGATGTGGGGCTCGATCCCAGGACCCTGGGATCATAACCTGAGCTGAAGGCAGATGCTTAACGACTGAGCCACCCAGGGCCCCAAGGTCTCTACCAGTCTTAAGGCATTGACCCTGCAGGGCAGAAAGCTAAACCTAGCCAAACGTTTTCATGAATTCCCAATGCCATGTTCAGGCTTGGACACTGTTGGAGTTACAAAAACTTTAGAAAACTCTAGCTGTACACAGTTGGGGTTACAAGAACTCTTCCCACCTTGAAGAATGTATCTAATTAAGGAAAAAATGACATGCTTGCATGTAAAAAATACAAGAAAATACAGGGTCAAGTCTTAGATATGATACAAGTACTAAGTCAAAGGTCCTCACACTTTGATGATATTCACTGGGGAGACAGGTGCTCTGGACTTGCTCCAGAAATTCCGAGGCTATAGACTGGGTCCCTGGTCAGGAAATTCTAATACTCATTGGTCCAGAGTATGCTCTTTGAGAAACACTGGAATGCGGGAGCAATACAATCCAACTTTCAATCCCCATCTGGACTGTGTGAAGTTACAAGAGATTAAAAAGATAAAGCAACTCTCATGATGCCTGATGAGCAGTTGTATATACTCCGTTTGTGGAAAGTCTCTTCCCTTTTATCTCTTTCTTTTTCTTTAGTTATGTACTATGCTTAAAAAAAAAGTCCACAGCCTGGAGAAGTAGGAAATGTGGCCTTGCTTTAGTAATTCTTGGGGCTACAGAGCTCACCAACGACCTCAAAAGCAAAGGGATACAAAATAATCCTAAAGATGACCAGGCACTTAGCCTTATTACAGGCCAGGCCCTGTCCTCAATATGTTACGTGACTAACCACATTTAATCCTCCCAACGAAACAATGAGCAAGAACTAATATTATCGTCCTAATTTTGCAGATGAGAAACCCGAGCTGAGAGATCACACAAGTAGTTGAGGAAGATTTGAAGCCAGGTCTGTCTGACTTCAGAATTCTTTCTCAATCACTGTACCTGTTGTCTCTCAGCTAGGATGAGACATGTTGAGGAAAAAGGTGCTCATGCTTCTAAACTGTGCAGACCCACCTGCCCATGGAGCACGTGTTGATTGAACACCCTCTGCACGGGTGGCCACCCTCAATCAGGCACGTGGAAGGGAGTGTGGTGCGGAGAAGGGCAGGCTGTGGGGTCTGGGAGGGGGCGGTCCTCCTCACCAGTTACCTAAAAATAACGGGAGCCATCTCTGAGGCAGACACATCCTCCGTGCAGTTTTAAATAACCATCCTCTGACACCTCTGCACACAATGCCCAGTCAGTTCTCTCAGAGTTAAATCCATCTTGGTTCTTGGGGGAAAATGTTCACTCCACATACCCTACAAGCCACTAGGGATATGGACCTGGAGACAAGCGCGTGAGAGTCATTAACACAATGGCAGTGGATGATCTGTGTGTCGAGCGCTCTTGAGGGCAGGTAGAGAAGGGAGTACCTGGAGGACTGAGTGTTGAATCTTTGGTCCGCCCAGACGAATGAGAGCAAAGCAGAGCCCGCAACAGGGAGAAACGGGGGGCAGGAGGAGGGGCATCAGACAAGAGTAAAGATGACCAGCAGTGATGCTAGAGGAAATCAAGGTGAGAGAATATAGTGGAAGCAGTGGTTGGCCCTTCACTCTCCACCCTCAACCAGAACAGAAACCAACTGCTCTTTTCTAGGATATAATAATTTGAAGTTTAGTGCAAGACTGTGTGTGAAAAGAGGATTTCACGTTTTAAGAAACTGGTTGACAAACATACACAAAAACTCAATGCATTTTGCTTCTCAGTCTTCTTTGCATGGTCACAAGATCATGAGCTCTGCAGATGAGCCTGCTGGAATTCATATCCCAGTTCTGGCACTTGTTGGCTGTGTGATCTGGGAGAAGTTAATTTACCTCCATGAGCTTCAATGTTCTTATCTGTAAAATGGACACAAGAACAGTACTGACTTCATGGGATCCTTGTGAGAATGAGAGGAGATGCTACAATGCCAAAAATACTAAGCACAGAGTTAGCACTTAATAAGTGCCGGCTGCTCATAATTGTTAGCGTTATATCCACACACAGGAGAAGGAGTCTGTTTTGTTTGTTGACTGTGAAGCAAGGGAGACGGGCCTTGCAGATGGCACAGAGCTCTTCTGTGTCGACTCTATGAGAAATGCCGAGGTCTCAGTTACATTGCGGAGAGTGAGCTACTGATGGACTCGGGGGATGACCTTCATCCTCCTACCTGGAGATGTCGGAAGAGGAACTGAGAGCCAGTCTCTCTGATGGAAGCTCTTTTGGAGGGTGCTTCCTTCATCCGGGTGAGGGGTTTGGCTCAGGGCCCTGATACGTTGTTTTTTTCTGTGCTAGTTTTTATTTCTTAACATCCAATTATTTATTAATAGAGCAGCCAAAATACACTTACTAAGTATTGTGAATTAATTTCTTCATTTGTAAAACAGAAGTAATTATATTAATGACATAAAATTAAACCAGATGAAATTTTGAACAGTTCCAAGCACTTTGTAGGTACTCGATTCCATTTTAGCAATTACTATTTTTCTTCTTTCTTCCTTTATTATTTTGCATATGGAAGAGATGTTCTAGAAACAATTATGTTTGTGAAGAAGCTTATGCCGTAAGTGGATTTGGATTGCAGATGCGGTGTGTTTAGCTCCCATTTATTATTTTATTTATTTTTTTGTTTTCTTAAGTTTGCAACTTTAATGTAACACTGATACCAAAAACATGACAACAGGACAAAAGCACACCACGAAAGCAGGAAGGGCGAAGACCGCTTCCTCATGCGTGCCACCTGGGATAGGCAGGTAGAAGGTGCCCCTAGTGCTGTGTTATAAGAAGGAGTCCGAGGAGGCACTCTGGCTTGGTGAGTGACTGCTGGTCATCAGCGCTGTTGGATCTGGGAGAAGCTGGCACTCGCTCTGGCGGCATTTCTGGCGGGGACGATGGAGCTGGTGCTGGGCCCATCGAGAATGTGGTGCTGGCCCCCCCACTGGAGCCACGGCTGACACCAGCTCTCCCGGTGCCTCTCCAGTTGGCACGGTTGCCATTCAGAATGTACTGATGGTATGTAGCCCAGAAAGCCAAGGGAGCCCTGGCCCAGCGATTGCTAAAATCTCCATCCTCAGACCACATCAGAAGCTCCGCCTGTGTGTCATCCCAGCTCCACCGTCCAATCAGTGCTTCATCCCCGATGTCCATCTGGGCCCTCATCTGGGCCCTGGCATGTTCCTCAGCCATATCTACACCCATCATCTTGAATGCATCATCCACAGCCTCCAAGAAATGAGCTTTCCCTTCCCAGGGTCTCGGTTCTGATGCTGGGTGATGAATCTCAGCACACCCATCTTGCTGGTCTTGTGGAAGGCTCTCAGACCCCAGAGGAATTCATACTCCACTGGGCTGCTATTGGGGATCTTCTCGTATTCCAGGTACCTCAGTGCGGGAGGATGACAAACGTTTGCGTCCAGCCAGGAAGACCTGTTGTCCCAGTGGCTCCCAGGTGGCGCCTGCCCAGCCCCAGTGCTGCAGCTCAGTTCCTGCGGGGTGGGGGTGGGCCCCATGTCTCACTCCCACACTCACTCCCAGGGCTTCCCCCTCCAGGACTGAGGCCTACAAAGCCTTAGGCTGCTGGTCCTATCCAGAAGCCATGTGGAGGTGCAGGTTGGGACACATGTAGGGTGTCTGTTCATAGGAAGGCCACATGTTTTGTGCCCCTTGTCACAGCGAACCCAGATTCCTGTTGGGTGTGTTATAAACAGAGGGGCCATTTCTTCAGGTTCCCTGCTCTGAGCACACCCCATGCCCCCATCATATTTTCAACACAAGTTGTGCCCTCCAGTGGGCCACAGTCCCCACTATTTCTTATTTTATTATATCTGCCCATTTCCCTCATTTCTATCACTTGCCTGGCTCATGTAGGCACTTGAAGATTAAGATCTCTGGCTTATCCTTCATCTGGGAATCTAAGAGGCACACATCACATACCCCATGGACATCCTCACTCAAAGTTGCTGCAGGAAAAAGCAAAGCCTAACAATTTCCATCAGGTGGTATGATACCTACTGGTGCTTTCTGATTAAAATCCAGATCTTCTTCTTTTTTTTTTTTTATTCTTATGTTAATCCCCATACATTACATCAT